CATCCCTATTCTTTTCAAAATTAAAAAAATTCCTTAAAATTAAAGAATTTAGAATATATCAGTAGACATGTGGATACATAAGTCGCGATACATTACTATTCAGGAAATCTGCGGATATATATAGCTCACGGATGTATCCGATATGGGGAGGGATGTATCTGAGAGGGGAATGATGTATCCGAGAGTGATGTTAATGGAAATTATAGGTGGCATTGGGTTTAATTTGAGTGGTTGAAAATGGGTCAAGACCCAATTCAATCCAAATTTGTTTGGGCGAGAATGAATTGAGTGAAAACGGGTTAGTAACGGGCCATAACCCAACCTGCCCAATTTTTACTAAGTTTTAGACTTTTAATAACTTAAGTTGTTAATTTATAAGCTTTTAGTACCTAATAAAATTATTATTTTCTTTATGATAACTATATATAGCGTATAAAATTTTGGGTAAATTACATAAATCTCATAGTTTTAATATGAAATTACAATATATCCCTAATAAGTTTCTAATTACATTAATCCCTTAAAAATTAAAAAAACCGGATACAATAATTGAAGCTCGGATACATTAAATATTATCTCGGATACATTAAAAACTAGCTCGAATAAATAATATGTAGCTCAGATACATTAAATACTAGCTCGGATACATTAGTATGTAGCTCAGAAACATAATATGTATCTCAGATACATTAAATACTGGCTCGGATACATTAATATGCAGCTCAGATACATTAAAGAAATAAGATATTTTTGAGATTTTTAAAAGTAATAGGGGATAATGAAAATAAGTGAAACAAAATGTGTGTATTTCTGTAAATTGCCCTAAAAATTTTAAAAAGTTTTTTAATAATATTTTGACAAGATTTCTCAAAAATAATTTTGGGTTACCTATCAACCCAATTTTTAATGAGTTGAAATATGTTAAGTTGAGATAGATTGAGTTAACAAATGGGCACCAACTGAAACCTAGATAGATTGGATCGGATTGGGCTTGATTTTGCCACTGCTAATGGAAAGCATGATTTATTTTCTTTCTACCCGGCCCATTCCCCCTTATCCATTGGGGATTTTCTCCTCAAAATAGGGAGTTGGTTTAAATTTCTCCATCTTCCTGTCAAGCTCGTTGTCCCAGCTTGCTGCTCAACAAAAGGTAATTGGCATTTCCTTCTCTTTTATTTTACCTCAGTTTCTGCATAGACAACTGTTTACTTTCGAATTTGCTTGCTAATAAGCATGTTCTGAATTGGTTGAGCATCTGGGTTCAATGTTTTATGAGTATAAACAATTGTTGTCATAGTGTTCCCGATAGCTATAAGTACCAAGAATAACATGGAACGTGAAATTTACCAGTTTGCTGCTAAGTGTTGAACTATATGTTCTATGTCGATCAAAGACTTGTTCAATAACTATGCCCCATTGCGAGGTTTTCTGTGACGTTGAGTTCATTTCTCATGCCTAATGACATGTTAAGGGCCTAATAACGATGTCGCTATAAGATTTTTTTCGGAATGTCGGGTGTGATTCTAAAGTTGTGTTGCTTTCATCTAAGATTCCATACTATCTTTCTTTGCTATTCAGATGACTCCCTCATAATTTGGGCAAAGTCCTAAGGCACAACGTATTTCAGCCGAGTGAAGTAAATCAATTACGATTTTGAGTACCCAAGTGACGAGGTTTGAATAGTTGATGAACCACCCAGGGACAATAGACTCTATACTGGTTAACTTTCATTCCAACGGGACACACTCATAATGCTTGCATTGGAAGATAGACCATCGTGTTAGGTCCTAGACATGGTAGAAATTCTTTAGAGGACAGACAATGGTGATTCAACAAAGAGTTAGAATAATAGATCAAAATAATACCACAGGTGCCTGTCCCCACGAACGAATAATGCAAAACTGTTTACTGAAAATATTATTATTTTGATTAACAATAAAATTTGTGAAAAGGAGTTCAAGGCAAGTGGATTAATATAGTTCAAGTTTCTTTTCTTCTGGCCAAACAAATATAGTTGGGATAGAATACAAGAGTGAAATTGTTTGAAACTCTTCTTCCATTGAAACACTAAAAGATGGAACTTGTAATATTTACAGGGAGAGATCTCGACACTATTACTTCTACTGAAAGGTCACTTTTATAGGCAAAAAGTCAAACCTATGTCATAATGTGAAAATATTATTACATGCTAGTTCTGAAGAGGCTATCTAGTAGCACGTGCCTTAGCTTTAATATTGGGCTCAAGGCTGATTGGGGTAAGGTCAGCGTTAGACATAAGATTGATTGTTGATCTTCCTGAGGGTCATTATAAGGGTGCTCTAGCTGTAAAGCGATTTCCTTCAGAGGAGAAGTCTTGTCAGCTACCCAACCTCTCTTTAATTATTTGTTCTTTTAACCAAATGACCAGTCTTACATAATCTAGAAAACCATATATGTATGTGATATTTCTTTATTTGGTTATGTGGCATTGTCTGTTAATTCAACACCGCTGGCCACCCAAAGTCGTCTATTCTTGCAATTGCTACAACTTAATTTCATCCCTAGTTTATTTGAAAAGCTGAAGTTTTGATTCAAACGATCGAATATTCTTGTGCCGAAGCCATAGCCATAGCCATAGCCATAGCCATGTGTTCTTGTTTAAGTGTTACTTTTTTGGAAAGCTTGCTTCCTTTTGCTATTAAATTTTGTTTCAAATGGTTTATGTTTACCTAAAATGACGAAAGTTTCTTCTTGTATTTAAGCCTTGTTTTCCATTTGAAGTGTTTTAATAATTGGTTTTTTAAGCCCATAGGACTCTATTGTTTTGAGTGATAAATTCCTGCTATAATGCATAAAATGAGTTGTGTGATAGTCATTTAGAATTTATTTTGCCGTTTTAAGTTAAATTTCTGATTTACGTTGCTCTTTGTTATCCCCTGAGTCATTCTAATGAGATTATTTGGTATTCTCGTATTGAAATCTGCTTGCTCTAGCTATAAACAGTGAGTTCTTTATCATATAAGGGTCACAGTATATCTTAATCAACATAGTTCAACTACATATATATGTCAATGGTAGCTAAATCTTATAGATAAGTGTTGCACTATCTCTACATATATATCTCTTCTGATCTTCAAATGTAATGGAGAAGAACAAGCATTTTGTTGTCATTTCAAACCTGCCTTCTTTGTCATTTTTTTTGGTCTTTCTGTAAGTTAATACTCTCCTTTATATGTGTTTTCAAGCTACTGTCTTAGAGCTATTTGTAGTGTTTCAAGATTAGGTACATTTCTTAAATAAAGTTATCTATCTTATATATCAATTAAACCGATTACATGAGGGGACTTAAAACCTTAACCTCAGGAAGCAAAATAGCAGATACATGATACAAGCAATAAGGGGGTTGCCCTTGTCCCGAAGCCCACAAAAAGGTACTATGAAGTATGACCATAGAAGAATTTTAACAACTTTAGAATCCTCAGAAGCTCATAGACCTCAGCCTATTCCTTTTCTTTTGCTTCTGATTCTAAAGTTTATCATACCATTCAGATAATTTCCCTGAGTCATCGAAGGCATTTGGGAAGAGTTAGTGAAAATCATAGATGAGTCTTCTATGGCGCCATATTTTGCCAAGGAGTCAGCAGTAGTATTGACTTTCCTAAAACAGTGGACAACGGTAGCATTGAGGTTCTTCAGATTATTTTGAATCTCACCAATCTAGTGTTTACATATGCCATTTCTTTGAGTCCATTTCTAAGATAATAGGGCCTATTTTGTTTTTCCTTGCACCATTTGAGACCAAAAAGTGTTGTGTGTGTTTCAGCCAAGTGAAAGATCATAGACATAGTAAAGGCCATTATCAAGTTGCTTTGATGGTCCCTTAAAATACCTCCACCCCCTGCTTTGTTAGTCTTAGTCATCGAGCTCCCATCTGTGTTCAACTTAACAAGTAGAATACATTCTTATGCTTACATAGTGTGTTCCAAGTATTTGAAATTTTCCAGAAATGAATATAAAGGTACAATATATTTTTACTTCTAAGTTTTTTTTTCCCCGAATGAGAAACAATTAAATAGGGTGATTGTTCAGATGCCTATCTCGCTGATTATGATTGATTAAAATCTGAGTTCTATCTTCGCTTTATTTAGTTGATTTACTTTTCTGAGATGGACTTGGTTTCTTTGTTGTTACCTTTATGACAACTTTGGTTTGTGTTCAATGCTCGCTCAAATTTATCCTCTGTTTGATCTTCCTTGAATGTATGCTGATTCACTAATTTGATGTGCTCATATTCGAGAACACAGTTTGAGTTTAATTAAGGATTTAAGAGTTCAATAAAGTAGATTTCGGTAGCTAGTTTTATTTATCATCTGCTATGAATTTCATTCCACCAAGAGTTAGTTACCATATGAATAAGATTACTAGTAGCAATACTTTTGAAAATAAGTGATGAACAATTTCCTTAAATTTACATTGAATGTTAAATTCAGTATGCTAATCTCTCTTACAGATACTAATTTTCTGCTCTTTGTTATTTTTACATGTTATACGGCTGTTCGATTCCGCTGGACTCTCACTACTTTTCTGATGCATATACAAGCCCAATATACGTCTTTTTTTTCCGCTAAAGCGCCTGCCAAGTTCAGCTAATATTTAGTTAAAGGGGCCGTAATAAAGCAGCAGCAGAAGCAGAATTTGGGCTAAAGCCCTAAACATATACCTGCAGATTACAACAGTTTCATCCCCAAAATGATCGAATATAGGCTGAAGTCTAATTGTCTTCTTATTATTATTGTGATCACTAACAATATTTTTGAGATTTTAATATTTAATTGTTTTTTAACTTGAAATAATATGAATATATAAGTTTTGACACTATGTTTCTGTAAGTATGTTCCGATTAGTCGGACAATGGCAACAATGAATTACCTGAAGATGAATCAGATAATCATATTCATTTGAAAGAAACAAGGTACGTACATAGTAGTACTATTTCATAATCTGATAATAACTACTGGGAATACAATACAACGTAATAGTTGTTCAAGATAAATCTAGGTAGTGAGGGATATTGGCGGGAATTCACTGGTCACTGCTTATAAAGTTTCTAATTGTGAAATCTGATGCAATATTAGGATCCGTAGTGACAGATGCCCATGTCACACGTCCTTTCGTGACAACACCCGGCCCTCTATTCTTATACTCCAGATAATATGGCTGGCGACTAACAACAGATTTATTTGCTAACCCAATCCACTCAACCCATCCTTTAGGATCTATCAAGTTATCGATATAACTTTCCATTATCACAGTCCTAGAAAATATACCCCATGGCCGACCTAAAAATGTCGTGACGTTGTTCAATTTCTCCAAATCGCGGGTAGCCTTTATAGTGCAGTTTTGAAGCACTATTCCAGTTGGTAAGGACTCAAGCTCTCTATGTTGCGCTGTAATTGTGTTATATTGCCTCGCCATTGGAGTGCGAGCTTCAATCAAGCAATTTTGGAACACGGCTGTTGCGTCACCACATATAAAATCTATGGTGCCATAGATTTCACTATCGCGGTAGAACTGACGTTGCCTTTTCACATACAAGGTGTCTTGATACCCGTCGAAGCAACATTTATAAAAGGACATCAGATCTGCGTCAACTCATAATGCCACAGCCTGATGTTTTATGGGTCCAACATTATTCCTAAAAGTTATGTCTTGGGCTATAAAGTCATTGCCAGCGACCCCTGCAAATTAAATAAGAAGAAACAATTATAATTCATCAAAATTAATAAAACTTATGTATATATAGAGAGAGGGGCTTACGATGGTTGCGGTGTCACAGGTTTGGTTTCCATCGACAAAACTTCTGTTACCCGTTATTATCGTAGTATCCATCCCTTCTCCAATTAGGAATATATTAGTCTTCTTTTTATCAACTGTAATATATTCCTGATACGTGCCTTTCTTAATTTTTATGAAGAATGGCTTGACACTGTGGTCAGGGCCCGACAATATTGCTCGAGCAATTGTGTTGAAATTTTCGGTTCCATCTTTAGAAACAACCGCGTTATAAGGTGTTTCTGTTATCAGTTGACTTTGAACACATACAACTATAGTTGCAGAGATAAACAACGTCATTATATTCCCTGCATTAAAAAAAAAAAAAAAGTTGATGAGTTTACGGACAAGAATTACAGCTACAGTCTAGAGATATGGAAGAAGGATACCGCAAAAATCATCCATAGCCATTGCAAAGATGATGAACGAAAAAGAAGTGAAATTTTTTGAGTCACTGAAGGTGACTAGTATGCAACAATTCTTCTTGGTAGTGGAAGAGTTATACTCTTTCTTTTTCTTAATATTGTAGTATTGTTCAAGCTTAACAAAATCCCCCTCCTTTATATTGTAGTAAAGCTATACTTTTTCTTGCATGTTTTTATTGTAAAATGTCATTTTTAAAGGCTCTTTTTGGACAATTAAATGTCATCTTCATTGAATTGAATTTTTCTACCATTTGTACAATTACTTACTTAGGTAATATATAATTGTAGTAACATTTTAATCCTTAGCTTAGTTATGGTAATGTTTTCTTCTTATTATCTTTTCTTATTTGGAGGGAACCAACTTGTGACTTTTATGAAAATTACATTTTGTGAAGATACAATCTTGTACTTTCTTCATTTCTTTTTAAATGATATTTTACCTTTTGTAATATTTTTCGAAATTAGTGACTTTTTTTTTAAGATATCAAGAAGATATTATTTTTTGTTTTTTTTCTTCAAAGTTATTTTTTACCTACAGAGCGCAAGAATTTTTTTAAGAAACTAGACGGAGAAGGGAAAATGAGAAGGAATTACATGTTATAAATGACATCATGAAAGCGTAAATTAGAGCATTAGTCTTTTCTTTTGTATTCACCTTCGGTTTATCCTCTTGTAATCGTTTCGTATATAAATTTTTATATTTTGAATTACTTAATAAAAAATTTTGTCTCTGTCACTGACGAGGACTGCTTGATGCGCCAAAAAGTCATATTAACCTTTAGGTAGCTTATTACGGATAAAAAAGTCAAAGATTTTTTTTAGTACAATTCCATAATCTTTCTCCTTTCTAAGCCAAGTTGCTAAGATGTTAAGCACCGTACGATCTTAAAGTTGTAGGTTCGAATCATCAAAGAATCAAAAAGATAATAGTGTGTTAATACTTGTGTCCATTATACTTGTAGTAACGTGGCTTTCATTGCATCCTATATTTTTAATTGAACTCGTTGCTTTTTTAACCCCTCATGTCAATACGATTTGTTAATTTACTCCATAACTTTTCATCTTTTTTATAGTATCACTTTTAATATTAATAGTTAAAAAAAAAACTATTTACTTGCACTTTAATTTCAAATTTTGCACCCATTCGAGAATTGAGTTGTTGGATAACTCAAAAAATAGATTAGTTGAAGAGCAAATATCCAAACAAAATACAAGTTGGAGTGAGTCATTATACGTTACCTGATGTGAGGTCAAAATACATATTTTTAATCATTATTTACCTCACATTTAGTATTTATATCTGTCTTTTTTGAGCCTGAATTTTATGAATTGTGCTAAAAAGTATATTTTATTTGTAGAATTAAATTAGTGGAAAAATAAAGAAGTTTGGATCTAAAATAATTAAAAATAGAAGATTAAAGAAGGAAATCAAACCGACAGCCTAATGGATTAAAGTGAATATTTTATTAATATTTATATATGCAGAAATTGGCGAGAAAGTAAAGAGCTGCACCTCATAGGAGTTGTGCCACGTGGCAGTATCTTAAGAATTCCCAATTTGCGGCGGTGGACGAAGCACTGTTTACGCAGGAATCCAACTCCGTTAAGATTGGAGAAAAAAAAAACTCCGTTCAGGTTTTGGGTTCTCAATTTGTTTTGGATTCAATTATTTTATTCAGGGTTTTTTCATATCTATAAATAGTCCATAAGAATAATTATTGATGGAGGAGGATGAATGTAGAAAATGACTTTTGATTTAGGATTTTATCTTTTCTTTCTCTTTTATTTATTTTACATCTTTTCTTTGAATGATTCGTTGTAATTGCTCTATGTCTATGTGGAGTTAAACTTCTCGTTCTTGGATTATATTTACTTACAATATGATTGTTCAGTGATTTTGATTCGGCATGATTTGTTTATCATATTAATTGTTCTTATATTCTTGTGATTACTATTTTGATGCTTGATCACCATTGAAATAAACATATTGTCCGAATTGAACTCGGGAGAGGAATACGAGGATAGAACATGGAATATAAGGAGCATGATTTTCTCTTAATAATTAGGGTTAATTTGTATCTATGATAGGGATATACCTAGAAACCATGTTTGGTCACTTTACAGGAAGAAATCGTAATGCTCGGTACTTGGTCCAACCTATCCCCGCTCAACGATGTAGTTAGGGTGTTATTTATCGTAGGCGATTAGAGGTCGGGAGACCATGATCATACATTTAACCCTGTGATTCAATAACTAGATAATCAAATAAGCTGCTTAAATTGATGTTAAACATGATTGTTAGTTAAATTATAATCCTAGATCGATTCATTAATTGATTGTGTAAGCATCTATCTTTTTTTAGTTAATTGGTTTTTAGTTAGTTTATCTTTATTTTTAGTTTAGCTAATAATGTGCGACCGCGTATACTTGCGTGTGCAATCGGGAGCAACAAATTTTTGGCGCCGCTGCTGGGGACTTAGAAATTAACTATTCTTCTAGGTTATACTTTTTCTTTTTATTTGTTTATTTATTTTGATACATATTTTTTTTCTCTACTAATTAATACTTTTTGTGGGATGAACGGGAATGAAGATTATTCACAAGCGGTAAGACCTTGTCCTTATTGCAAAGGAGCTCACTTTTGGCAACAATGTAATTATATTCCCGAGGAGAATTGTGTTCACCATCTCTATCATGTGAATTTTGTAGGGGGTTGTGGGTCGATTGCACCGTGTGTTGCTACCCTACTCCAAAACCCTCTCATGATGATGCTAATAATCTTTGTTCCTTTGATAGTATGAAATCTTGCAGGAAATTAATAGAGGAATCTGAAGAGCATCGTAGGATAATCATATATGTGATGTCACACCTTATAGATAGAAAAATGAAGCACTTTCAAGATGTTAATATGTTTTTCTTGCATACTCAGAACTTAAGCAATGAATTGAATGCAAAGGTTGCTGCGTTTGACGCTCAACAATTCAATTATGAGTTTTGTAATACTGAAAAGGCACTCAGAAGTCAAATTGAGGATCTAAAACGGAAGGAAATGCAATGTAATCAGACTTTTCTTGAAGATGCCACATTTGGGAAAAAGTATAATACTGAGCATGTTGCAATTGGTGTAAGTTTGGAAGAGGGACATATCACTTTTCAACATTATGTTTAGATGTTGATGTATCATTCGAGTCATCTGAACTAATGGAGAACTGTATAGATGAGGAACAAGTCCCCTACATCTTAAAGTTTTATAGTCCACGTAGACAAACAAATATTCCTCACATAAGGGCCAAGAAGTGCAAGATGCGACATATATTACTTGGTTCTTTTATCTTTATACCACCACCCCTCGAGAGGAGCAGAAAAATAGATGTAAAGTTAGGGGTGCAATTCATAAGTTCAAAGTGGAAAGAAAAGTGGTGAACTTACTTGTGTCGTGCCGTGATGTTAAATTAGGCGCTTATTGGGAGGCAACCCAATTTATAGTGCAACTTTTTTTTTTTAAGTGCCATTTTTTTGTGATGTTTTTACAGGTTTTGGAGAAGTCTGAGTATCCAAAATTTGGAGTTAAGGAACACGTTTGAGCTCAAGTGTGGGGTGACGACCCTTGATGAAAATTAAGATAACATGCTACTAGCTAGGCCTAGAGGCCCCAGAGAGTTTTCCTAACCTTTGTTTTAAAATTTTAATTGATGTTTTGGGGACATAGCATCTTTTCAAGTGTGGGGTGTGAATTCTTTCGCATATTTTGGTTAGGGTGAAGTGTGCGTTAGATTTGTTTAATATAGTTTTTAAAAAAATGAAAAAATAAAATAAAATTCCGGACAGTGCAGTCCGTATCCAGTTCGCGTCGCAGACCTGGTACAAAAAAAAAGTTCTTTTTCATGAGTAGGAACACACTTAACCCAACCCAAAAGAAATATTCCTTCTTTCACTCATTAACTTATGTTGTTGCACTGGGGACTGTGGGGGTGAAAGAATGAATTTCTAGTTTTTACTGTTTTATTGAGTCTTTTTTTTTAGGATGAGTTCCTTGACTTTTGTTTTCAGTTCTTTTCCTGAGGATAGTCCCTTTGAACCGGGTGTCTTTTATTTTTTGTGCATACATGTGAATTTTATTTCTGAGTGTTAGTTGTTCTTTGATGCTAAGTCCTTAATTTATATTCAATTTTTTGAATTGAGTGTGTGAACTATTTCTTTTTGTGAGGGCACTTGTTTCATGATGGAGATTTTATTAGCTTTCTTTGATGAGAGTAAGTGAGCAAACTTAAATTTGATGAGTTCAGAGTCCTTCCTTGAGGTTAGGAGGTTAGAGGTTTGTTGTTTATTTGTAAATCTTGCATAATGATTGAGAAGTATACTTGATGTTTCGAAATTTGTATATGACCTAAGTGTTTGTAGCAATGATTTTTTGAGATGAGCTTTAAAGTTTGCTCGAGGATGAACAAAAGTTTAAGTGTGGGGTGTTGATGTGAGGCCAAAATACATATTTTTAATCATTATTTGCCTCACATTTAGTATTTATGTCTGTCCTTTTTGAGCCTGGATTTTATGAATTATGCTAAAAAATATATTTTATTTGTAGGATTAAATTGATGGAAAAATAAAGAAGTTAAATAATTAAAAATAGAAGATTGAAGAAGGAAATCAAGCAGACACCTTAATGGATTAAAGTGAATATTTTATTAATATTTATATATGCAGAAGTTGGCGAGAACTGCACCACATAGGAGTTGTGCCACGTGGCAGCATCTCAAGAATTCCCAATTTGCGGCGGTGTACGAAGCACTGTTTACGCAGGAATTCAACTCCGTGAAGATTTTGGGTTCCCAATTTGTTTTGGACTTAATTATTTTATTCAGGTTATTTTTATATCTATAAATAGTCCATACGAATAATTATTGAGGGAGATGGATGAATGTAGAAAATAACTTTTGATATAGGATTTTTATCTTTTCTTTCTCTTTTATTTATTTTACATCTTTT